TTGCGCACAAAAGTATTCTCGTCGCTTGATAAACTTAAGATTGAGCCACTGTAGTCACTTGGACTATTTTAACGATGTCTTTAATAACTTTTCGAGGCCGGCAAGTTCAATCCCTGAAGAAGCCTATGGACTAGTATGGAGGAGTGATCCAGCTCTCAGATTTCATCAAAAATATCTTAATTCGTGTTCCGAAGATGAACGAAAGTCTTACGGGGTTGGAACAACATGAGGGTGAGTAATTACTGACAGAGTTTACATTTTTGGGTGAACTAACCCTTTAAAGGCAGGGTATAGGCGATTTGTCCCAGAAACATTTTTTGTTGTTGTTTTCTCATTATTGTTCAGCATTTTCTCCTTAAAACTGCAGTGAACCAAACACCACAAACGTTTCTGACGTCACAAACTACCTTGCAACCAATCAGATCAACGTGTGATCGTCAACGAGTGGATCTCTGAGCTGAGTGAGTGAGTGGAGGCGGGGCTCATTTGCATATTCATAGAACCGGGTATACTAAATGGGGCAAGGGTGTCGAGTTACATTCAAGATATTATAAGGCATGAAAAACATTTTGCAAGGAAAAAACGTTTAAATATTAAATTTAGGTGATTTTTTTGTTCATTATGTCCATTATTATTGTAATGTTATGTGCTTTGAGACATGAGGTGATTTAACGCCGTCTCTCGTGATGCTTCAACCCGATCACACTAAATCCGTCTCTAGTGTGTTTATCGTGTAATTTATACGCGAAAATGAGTTTTTACGTGCATAGGGCATGGGTTTGTTAGGGTAGGTTTAGTAGTAGTGTGGGGTGCGTGTGTATTATACGTTTGGGTAGAATTAGTGGTGTGGGGTGCGTGTGTATTACACGCAAATGAACTGCGTATCAAATGCACGCGAAAACTGCGTATCATATGCACGTAAAAATTCATTTTCGCGTATAAATTGCACGATAATACACAAAGCGTGCTATAAAGACGCATTTACGTGAGAACAGGCTGGATGCTTTGCAGACTCTGTGTGTGTTCATGTGTTTTGAAGGAGGCGTGACTTTGGAGACGCTCTGAAGGGAGGGTGGGATCATATGCTTTCAAAACTAGCTGGCTATTGCTAGCCTCTCTGAAAATCACCCACCCCACCTTTAAATGATGGGGTCCGAGGGTTGGTTTGAGGGGTTTAGAAAAGGTTGACAAACTGTGAGATCTGCTTCCAAGACTATTACACATTCATTAAATATGCATGTAATGACTTTACACCCTACCCTCCTAATTGCTTGTAAAACAATGATAAGCTGTAGAATAAATCTCTGACCTCACAGTTCAGGATTGGGCAACATGGAAATTGTTAGCTGGATTGTGGTGGGCAGCGCAGAAGTCAATTTTGAGGCAGTCCCAGTCTACTGGATCCACCTGCGAAGACCTGCTCACTGACATTGGCAGGTTGCATTCTGGGAATCCATCTGGTGGCTCCACAGACAGGAGGAAACCTGCTAATTAGCTCTCTCTGTAAAGGGGCTGGGTCGAAGCGAATTCCCAGCTGTCATTAAACATACTCGGAAAGGGGGAGAAGGAAGAAAAGCACCAGGGATCCAATGCTCTAATTCCTCTTTTTAGAAGAAGAGAGAGCTGAGGATCCGGTTGTGTTTCGATACGCAGAATCTCTGTGAAACGCACCGCAGAGTAAAACGCTGCTTCATTGGGATGTGTGTGCTGTAATGAATTGCTTTATTGTCGCTTTGTGCAGCTTTTGAAAGAGGAAAATCCCTTGGCGTCACCTTTGGCACACCTTCTTTTCAAACCCCCGCAGAGCCTCACGGAGACAGAAGGCTTGAAATCACATGAGGTACTAAAGTAGAGCACAAATAACACAACAGAATATGCAGAAATAAACATAATAGCTCTCCGATGACTGACTTGAACAAACACACACCATAAGTGGCTTCAGTCATTTCGGAGTGAAACATAAAGGCCGGAAAAGCTCCACTTTTGGCGATTAAAGCTCACACACTGAGAATTCTCAATCTCCATTCCCTTGAGAAATTGTGTTTGCACACACGGCCTGCGCAAGCATTCCCATTCAATGATTAAATTACTGTTTTATCCAGGAAACTATAGCAGCCATTCAGATCCAAATGACTTTAATCTCAGCGTTACGGTTGCCCAGTCACCGAGTCGACAGCGACAGCTCGGAATTATAACGCTGATCACATGGCTGCATCCGACCAATCAAATGTTTTCTGAAATGAGAATGAGAATTCTAGGATGCTCCCTACAAAAACAATAAAGCAATTGCAGTAAATAAATATAGAAGAGGAGAGAAATGAAGTGATCTGGATGTAACTGCATTCTCTTGAATAGCTACATATCAAGAAAAAGTTATTTATCATCAGGGCTTGACATTAACACCCGTCGACCCGTGTAGTTCAGCAGTGGCGAGGAACGTGCGATGTAGTGTTGTCAAAAATATAGATTTTTTTATACATTTCGATACTGAAATATCTAAAACGCTTCCAATACTCAACACGCAGAATAGATTACACGACCCCAGCGTCTCTTTCTCTCTCTCTCTCAAACCCTCCTCTCCTCACTCACTCCATTCATTTGCTCCGGATGAATATTGTTGCTGTTACAAGGATTGCATTTTGGTGTGAGATTGTGTGTATTGCGCATAATTTTACTCATTCACGCAGATTTTTTGCTCACACCAAAAATGCAGCACATAAAGCCGCCTCTCAGTAATAAATTAGTTCTTTTTCACTGTTTATTGCACTTAATCATCAGTCAAATACACAAAATAATGTCAAAATGCCGGTCTTTGTGAGTATTCACGTAAACACAGTCAGTTCTGTTTTATATGGAAGCTTGTTTCCGCCACTGAATAAAAAATAAATAAAAAAATAATTGCGACTTTTTATCTCACAATTGCGAGATATGAAGTCAGAATTGTGAGAAATAAAGTCCCAATTGCGAGATATAGTCGCAATTCTGAGAAATAAAGTCGCAATTATGAGAAATAGTCGCAATTGCGAGATATAGTCGCAATTCTGAGAAATAAAGTCGCAATTATGAGAAATAAAGTCCCAATTGCGAGATATAGTCGCAATTCTGAGAAATAAAGTTGCAATTATGAGAAATAAAGTCGCAATTGCGAGAAAAAAGACAGAATTGCAACTTTTTATCTCACAATTCGGACTTTTTTTCACACAATTGCGAGTATACATCTCGCAATTCTGACTTTAACCTTAACACATAATTGCGAGTTTATATCTCGAAATTCTGACATCTTTTCTCAGAATTGTGAGATATAAACTCGCAATTGCGAGTTATCAGGCCAATTCTAAGGGGGGAAAAAGACTAATTCCCCCCCCCCCCTCAGAATAGTTTATATCTCACAATTCTGACTTAACAACACGCAATTTCGACTTTATATCACGCAATTCTGACTTTATATCAATCAATTCTGACTTTATATCTCGCAATTCTGACTTTATATCAATCAATTCTGACTGTATATGTCGCAATTCTGACTTTATATCAATCAATTCTGACTGTATATGTCGCAATTCTGACTTTATATCAATCAATTCTGACTTTATATCTCGCAATTCTGACTTTATATCAATCAATTCTGACTTTATATCTCGCAATTCTGACTTTATATCAATCAATTCTGTCTTTATATCTCGCAATTCTGACTTTATATCAATAAATTCTGACTGTATATGTCGCAATGACTTTAAAACACGCAATTGCGACTTTATATCACGCAATTCTGACTTTATAACCTGCAATTGCGACTTTATATCAATCAATTCTGACTTTATATCTCGCAATTCTGACTTTATATCACGCAATTCTGACTTTATAACACGCAATTCCGATTTTATATCACGCAATTCTGACTTTATATCGCGCAATTCTGACTTTATATCACGCAATTCTGACTTTATAACACGCAATTCCGATTTTATATCACGCAATTCTGACTTTATATCGCGCAATTCTGACTTTATATCACGCAATTCTGACTTTATAACCTGCAATTCTGACTTTATATCAATCAATTCTGACTTTATATCAATCAATTCTGACTTTATATCTCGCAATTCTGACTTTATAACACGCAATTGCGATTTTATATCACGCAATTCTGACTTTATATCTCGCAATTCTGAGAAATAAAGTCAGAATTGCGAGATGTAAACTCGCAATTGTGAGAAAAAAAGTCAGAATTGTGAGATAAAAAGTCGCAATTACCTTTTTTATTTTTCATTCTGTGGCGGAAACAAGCTTCCATAGTTTTAAGTGATTGTAAACAGTTGAGAAAGAAAACGCATGTGTAACAGTATAATGGATCTGTGTGTCAGCTCTTAAAGTGACAGACGCCTAATAAACCTGCTGCCAAATTATGAGATAATATTTAAAATATCTATATGGCAGTTTCCCCCCACTATAGTGATGCCAAAATTGTGGCCAGTAAAGATATTGAGTGGCTAGTGACTGTAAGAACACTAGCCAAAGCCCTGTTTGTCAGCATAGTCATTTTTCTTTGTTTCCCTGGTTCATATTCATATATCTGCCGGCTAGGGGTAGCTGTCACATGGGCAAGTTGTCAAAAGCTTTATACCTCGGTCTTTTATGCAAATGCTTTTTCATAAAAAGAGGTTGGGGCAAGTTGTCACCATTGTTTTAAAGTTCATTAATTATAATTTATCCTGCCCAACAAAGATTTGTACAAAGTGTTACAGCTTGCCCCAGGCTCCCATATAAAGCACACATCAATTAGTCCCAATCAGATTGCTTTAGTGCTTGTGTTATTTTGCTATTCTGTTTTTTATATTGCCTTATTGGTTTTATATTGTGGAAATGCAATTCACATAATTCAATAGCAAAAAGCTCTCTATAGATGTCCTGGAAAGCAGGGTTACTCACACCCCCTCTCTTGCATGTGTGTGTGCACTTCTGGTTTCCTAGTAACCCGCGCCAGTGCTGGCGTTCCCGAACACTCAAGCGTGTCCGCGCAGCGCGCACTCGTGAAGCTCGTGTGGGGAGCTCACGAACACGCAGGACCAGAGCATCAGGAACATACACGCAGGAAAAACACGGGAATGTGACTGGAGTGTAAAGGATGAAGGATGCGTTCGCTGGAAAAGGTCACACGAAATGCATGAAGAGCAGTGGGAGGAAATCTTAACGCAACTGCAACGGATTACCAATAACACACACGTATAAAGGCTTCTTTTTTTTTGAGGGAACATGAATACCAGGAATGGGGGATTTGATATTTCACCAAAGCAGGTGAGTTGTTTATGTGGATAATGGTTGTTTATGAGGATAAGTTATTAGTCACCATACGAACAGTCTTGAGAAGGCTATAGCACCGCTATATGTCTTATCACAAGATCTCTCGTGCCAGGATTGCCACTTGACAATTGGTGAACTTGAGTGTTGCTTGTGTCTGTGGTGTGGAGATGTGCGGTTCTGTAGATGAAGAACAGCTGAAGTCAACTAGACAGGCTGTGATGCTGGTAAAAGTAACAGGAGGTGAGGATGAGGATCTCTTGCACTTGTTACACCCCATCTGCACTGCCAGCGAGCGACGCGACAAAACTAGAACGCCCCCCCCCCCAAAAAGCGCGGCGTTCTAGTTGCGTCGCGTCCTGCTGCTCGCCTAAAAAAGTCTTTGATTGGTCGCCGTCGGGATCCCATCCGCAAGCTCGAGAGACGCGTCGCGTCCTGTCGCGCGCTAGAGGTCTGGACGGCTGCGGTGATTTGAATAGTTGTGTCGCGTCGCTACAGATGGCGTGTTATTTTAAGCGTCTTCCATGACGCGTTCATGTTACGCATGGATTCCATTACGAGCTGATGAATAGATTCATGTTTTGTCTTTGAGACTACTGTAAATTTAATGTCAATTTTTTACAGTTAATTCACAGTTATGTGGACAGTTTGAATAATAATTATAAAATCCAGGGTGTTTTGAAGCTTTTCCATGCATACCCATAAATGCAACATGCCTATGGGTAGCAGATTAACTTTTTTAACCATCTATTTTTTTTATTTTATTTTTTTTATTTACATATTTGTATAAGGGAAAGTGTATATCTTGGGTCTGTAACTGGTCTCCATTTCCTTTAGGTTTCTTTTTAAATTTAATTAAAATGGCAAATATGGTCCTGCTGTGTGACAAATACATTTTTTAAAAGTACAAATATGCCATGTAGCCTCAGCTAATATGAGCTCATAAAAACTGCATGTATAGAAATTATAGAAGAATTTGAAAAAAATGTAGCTTGAAATAGATTTAAATGAATTATAGCATGTCACACCATGGGGTACTTCTAAATCATTTACTAGCAGCTACCCACATTCAACAAATGCTTTCTGTGTGGTTGCTTCATATGAACAAAACTACAGCATTATTAAATAATGACATGCTATACTGACTGGTGTTAGTGCTGCTCATATTTTCATTTAAGACAGCTTTAATGGCTTTACAGTTTTTAGACTGTAAAACTGCAGTTTAAAAGACTTGGGTGATGATTTGCACTGAATTACAAAGCAAAGAGCGAGAGAGAGAGAGAGAGAGAGAGAGAGAGAGAGAGAGAGAGAGAGAGAGAGAGAGAGAGAGAGAGAGAGAGAGAGAGAGAGATGTGCCTTGGAGTTGTCATGGTGATTTGGTGAATAAGCAATTGTCCGTAAAGGCGACGCATTAAAAGGGTTTGCTGTTGCCATTGCCATATCAGTGAAGAGCATATTTCAGCTCGGGTTAGAGTTGGGTTCGGGCTATAGGCTTATTTCGCTGTGAGACAATACATTGCAACTTAAGTGATTGTGATTGGTGGAAGTGAGCCTGGAAGTGGATGGTATCTCCAAAGAAAGCCTAATTCCGTAGCCCTGCCATTCACGCTGGTTTATCCTGTGTTTTTACGCAGAGAACCTGTTTATGTGCTCTGGCATTTAGTGTCTTGAAGGATTATGCACGCTCCTGCTTTTGAATTTCCTCTCTCTACCAATGTCTTTATTGGTATTTTGGCCTCGTACACTGGTATTTCTGAAGCAGCCGCTGATTTAAATCCGTTCTGAATGACACATCCGAGATCTGAGCTCTTTGTGACGTCTGCTAAAGAACTAAAGAAACAAGTTGTTAGAAATATGTTGGTCTTTTTCATACAGACCAGATAAATCCAGAACAACTTTGTTTCTAACTTATAGCCGGCACTTGGACCGTCACATTTATTCCTAAACTGCAAAAAATAGTAATAATAACAACCTGTTTGTAAACACTATTTGTGTATTGTTTTCTAGTTAACAAAAATATCTGAACATGCTTTAAACAAGATAAATGCACAATAAAAGAAAAATGCATAAGATATTAATACTTGTTTTCAGGGTAGAGTTTTCGAGTAGAGTATGAACTTGCATAGAAAAAATGTCATTAAGGGTAAGAACAATTAACATGTAGTCTCTAAAAAAACAAGTCTTAAAGGGATATTTCACCCAAAAATTGAAAATGCTATCCTCATTTACTCACCCTCAAGTTGTTCCAAACCTGCATGAGTTTCTTTCTTCTGCTGAACACAAAAGGAGATATTTTGAAGAATGTCGGTAACCAGACAGTTTTTGGACCCCATTGACTTCCATTGTATTATTATGTTTTGTTTCATAATATGGAAGTCAATGAAAGAAATCCAGGGTGGATGGATTTGGACTTAAGGGTGAGCAATGGTTTTTGGGTTAACTATCCCTTTAATATCTTATGCAGTTTGGTATCCTATTTTAAAGATATTTAGATCTTTTTTTATTGAAAAATTAGACAAAATTGCTGCTTTTTGCTGTTAACTAGAGCATATGTTGATCCTGAAATAACAGCTAATCATCTAATTCAATTTTATGGTAAGGTTATTGGTAGGATTTGAACATTCACATCCTTATTATGGCGAGGTTATTTACCAGTAAAGCATTTGGCAAAATCGCCGTCACCCTTTCCCCCAGTTTGATGTATAATGATCAAAGGGATTTCGCTTCATGTTCAATACATCTTGAATATGCTATACTGGAACAAATCATTGCTAGTAGCAATTGGGTTTTCCTGTCTTTATTGTTACTACAATTTTCCATACACTGAATGATGGGAACACTTTGATGTCATGCTTGAAAACAGAAAACAAGAGAAGCCCTATAGCATCAATCCTGCTGCCGTAGTCTTTCACTGTTAGATCAAATCAGGTGATCTATTCTCCGAGTCACCTTTGCTGACCTCCGTGGTTGAAAAACACTGGACTGTTGCCATCACTCAGATGAAGGTCACTCTGACGACAGTAACTCATCTGCCTCTGTGCTTCAGCTGAAAGTGTCTGAACGCTGAATATAACCGGAAGCAAACTGTGGTTTTCTGGCAGTTTACCTGCGGAATCTGAACCGACTGAAACATCTTGATAAACTCTTTTAATGGATGAGAAAAAAACACTCTTTATATATGGTAACACTTTACAATAAGGTTCATTAGTTAACATTAGTTAATATATATACTAACATGAACCATGAGCAATACATTTGTTACAGTATTATTTATTAATCTTTGTTAACGCTATTTAATACAAATACAGCCGGTCATTGTTAGTTCATGTTAGTTCATGTATTAGTAAATGTTGAAATTAACATTAACAAAGATTAATAAATGCTGTAGAAGTGCAGTTCATTGTTAGTTCATGTTAACTACTGTTATTTCACGGCTCTGTGGAATACTTGATTCTGATTGGTCAATATCGCCATCCGGCAGTATTTTATTCCCAGATAAGCTTAGGAACGGTTTTTTTCTTCGTGGAAGTTTTGCAATATGGTGAGCTAATAAAATATTAAAACTCAGTCACATCAATATTTTGTGAACAGTTATTTAAATATGCCATCCAGTATCATCGACTCGCTCTCTCTTGTTCCATACAAACGCTCTGCTGCCATTTTGTGACTATTGTTTTGTACACTGTTGGATTATAAAATACAAACAGGTACGATTTTAAAACAGTTCAATCTGAAATCAGTATCTCTTATCTCCATAATTATTTATGTGGTGAAATGTTGCGTAATAAGTATGAGTGTATACCTTATCGCTTAAATGTCTATCTAGTTTGAACTTGCCGCGCTGCAACGGCTCTCTCCGCGGAAGCTTTGCATTTAAACTCAGATCCCAGATCAATATCTCGTGTCGAATAATTTATACTTATGTGGCAAGTAGCCGTGTAATAAGCGGGATCATATACATCCAGCCGGTTGTTCTTCAGGCTCCCGTCGGGGTCCTCATCACCCTGTCGGGGTTTATTCTGAGAGAACAACAGGCTGGATGTACATTATCCCTTACTTAACTAACGAACCTTATTGTAAAGTGTTACCATATATACACTCACCTAAAGGATTATTAGGAACACCTGTTCAATTTCTCATTAATGCAATTATCTAATCAACCAATCACATGGCAGCTGCTTCAATGCATTTAGGGGTGTGGTCCTGGTCAAGACAATCTCCTGAACTCCAAACTGAATGTCAGAATGGGAAAGAAAGGTGATTTAAGCCATTTTGAGCGTGGCATGGTTGTTGGTGCCAGACGGGCCGGTCTGAGTATTTCACAATCTGCTCAGTTACTGGGATTTTCACGCACAACCCTTTCTAGGGTTTACAAAGAATGGTGTGAAAAGGGAAAAACATCCAGTATGCGGCAGTCCTGTGGGCGAAAATGCCTTGTTGATGCTAAAGGTCAGAGGAGAATGGGCCGACTGATTCAAGCTGATAGAAGAGCAACTTTGACTGAAATAACCACTCGTTACAACCGAGGTATGCAGCAAAGCATTTGTGAAGCCACAACACGCACAACCTTGAGGCGGATGGGCTACAACAGCAGAAGACCCCACCGGGTACCACTCATCTCCACTACAAAAAGGAAAAAGAGGCTACAATTTGCAAGAGCTCACCAAAATTGGACAGTTGAAGACTGGAAAAATGTTGCCTGGTCTGATGAGTCTCGATTTCTGTTGAGACATTCAGATGGTAGAGTCAGAATTTGGCGTAAACAGAATGAGAACATGGATCCATCATGCCTTGTTACCACTGTGTAGGCTGGTGGTGGTGGTGGTGTAATGGTGTGGGGGATGTTTTCTTGGCACACTTTAGGCCCCTAAGTGCCAATTGGGCATCGTTTAAATGCCACGGCCTACCTGAGCATTGTTCCTGACCATGTCCATCCCTTTATGGCCACCATGTACCCATCCTCTGATGGCTACTTCCAGCAGGATAATGCACCATGT